CATATAAATACAAGTTTAAGTATGTCTTTTAAGTCTTATTCTGTCATCGAGTTGACAAATTTTGCTTATAAAAATAGAAGGAGTGACAAAGCTTTTCTAGTAGAGGTTCATTTATGTATCTTTCACATACATACTTACAATAAAAAAAACAAGAGAAACAAGAAAAATTAACAAAAAAACAACAATTTCGAATAATTAAAAAAAAAACAATTTTTAATCTGGATGCGGCGGTAGATCAGGCGGCAAAAATCACAAGGAAAATTTTCCAAAAATAAAGCAAGAGAAAAAAAACATTTACCTGCGGTTTATTTTTGACTAAGTAGGTATCCTGTCCTGACGGTATTTGGATCAGGTCCATCCGCACGGGCTGTGCGAAATAAACGAAATAAATTACAAAAAGAAAAATAAACATTCTTTAACAAAATGCTATTTTTCTTGAGTTAATGTGCGGCGTGGAGTTAATTTATTTTTACTTTTGTTCTGTTAATGTTTTATTTCAGTGTTAATGTATTTTCTGCGTTTCAATTGTATAATTCATTAATTAAATTGAAAAATTATTGATTAAAGCCAGATAGACCATTTAAAATTCGGAGTATAGTATAACATTAGCATTTTGGATGTTAGCAAAGAATATTTGTCATAATTACGTACTATAATGTCAAATTTATTAATTTGGCTTGGGTAGTCTGTCTTTAAAAATCGAGACTCTCGCTCTTTGCATACAATTTCCAGTTGATATACCTAATATAGGATGTTTATTTCAAATAATTTACGCCCAGAATGAAGAAAGGGACGGTCGGGACGGATCACTCCAAACAACTGTCGCGTTGAAGCTGACAATTCTTTATTCAAAAACTCCTTTAACCCTTTTCCCTCCGGGAGCGACCCTTTTGAAATTTTCGATTCCCATTTGAAGTTTTCAAAGATAATTCGTTTCTTAAATCCAAACTAAGGGCAAAGTATAAGTATAGCTACATAAGTATAACATAACATATACGTAGTAAAATTATAGTCACGCCACAACTGCAGTGTACGGAGGCGAACGCTGGCGATCAGTGATTCCCCGGACTCCACCTACGGGCGATCTCTATTTAAGAAAACTGAAAGTTTTGTTGATCAGTCCCATCAGGGCATCTTCAGCAGCCAGAAATGCGATTTAACAACACCGGGACATCAAGATCATTAGTATTTATGTGTATGCCCCTGTTGAGTTTGCTATTAATTTGAATAGGAAACTCAAATATAAATAAAAGACACAAATCTACGTGAAATTCTATTTATTACTGAAAGCCCAAAACCCACCTGCAAGAATGCAAGTCGTCGAACAACCCAGGACCACTTTAATATAAACAACTTTTTATGGTTCTGTGTGTATGTTGACATGCAGTAATTGTTTATAATAATCATCAAATATAATATAATATTTAAATATATACATACATAACAGCCCCGTTAAGGTTCCTACAGATTTGTAAGAGCCAAGTATACAGTAATTCTGTAACTGTGACGAAGGCATAACCAAAGAAGATTTTCAAAAAGACCAAGTACTTGTCTGGTTCCCTCTGTGGGAGAGAATTGCGGAAGATATCCATGTTCTCTTCCGACCTACAACAGAGACGAAAAAAAAATCATGCGCAACGCCATACACGTCGTAGAAGAGAAACTTCTTAAAAACTACCCCCATCCCCTCATATAACTTTTAGACCTAGGGTCGGTGTTTCAATGTTACCTTAAAATCAAGACTTACCTAAGGGCCCCTGAACGTTAAGGTGAACTTGAAAACAGTTCATTCAGGTGGCTCCAGGTCCACCTTGAATTAAGGAAACTTTGATGTATGGTGAAACTTGCATAAAGAATGACTTAACGATATTCTTCACCTTAAGGTGACATTGAAATACCGACCCTTAGCGTATGAGTCGGGGTAAGACGAAGGACCACACAAAAGACGCGCATCCATAGTAACGTCGCAAGGGTATCGGCGCTTGAAAATAATAGGCAATTCTCTTACGATTCTTGCTTTGTGTCAATCGTTCGTCGGCTGTCAATGGCTGTCTTTCTCCGTCTCTCCGTTATATCTTGCTTAATGTAACGTAACGAAATAGGCCTAAACGTGACGCGTCTTTTAAATCACTCTCCATTCTCGTCCAAATATCAGACCGCCGCCTAAGAAGTTTCACTTCAAAAAAATTGGTAGGTGGATGGGTTATTAATTGCGATGGACTATTTTTCAAAGTGACCAATACTTCCAATCTTCCAGTAGGTACTTCCAATCTCCAAAATGAAGCTGTTACAGCTGCTGAAGCATGATGGAAAACATTATAAGATCAGAGAAATTTTATGTCCGACTCCACTTCACCCTCACTCAGACAAAACAGCCGAGAGGCACAATCGGACCATCAAACAATACGTCTAGCTGAGTCCGAAATTACATAACCGTGGAAGCATTATAGAAGATCCTCCAGAAGATCAACGACTGGTGTACCAGAGGGTGTCCCAAATTCATGGGTGACCATTTGGGATCTCGGAAACCATAAAGGATAATATATTCGAGGTCGATCAAATTGAGGCAAAGTTGCGCAATTTTATGCTTAATGGTGAATGAAGTGATATTTTAAAATACATGGATCTTATTTATCATTGCCACTTTTTCGCCTCTATAAAATGACATCGTCAAATTTAAAATCCGACGTTTCGACTTTGGTAGACCATCATCATCAGGTGAATATTTTATTTTGTTTTGTGTTAGCTTTTGATCCCATCGAAGCAATGACGTGTGGAAAAACCAATCAGATCTGAGAAAAATTCGCTAACGCTATTAAAGCCCAACAATACTATAAAGATGGATTTATGGACGCTGGTTATGTGTAAGACAGAGACAGGTCTATATAAATACTTTCTAAAAGTATGTATATTTGAACAGTAATAAACTACGAAATAACTCTCAGCTGCAGAATATAATTTGCATACTCATAGACTATTATATGTCACTCAATTAGGCTTGTACCTACTTTATTCATGCACTACCTAATTAAGTCGATAATATTGGAAAAAAAAAATGTTAAATAGTGCAAATTGTGAATAAATGGTTATGATCTTGGAGCTATTTCCCGAACTTGGTCGTTGACGCTGCCATCTAGCAAGAAGGAAGAACAAAACTGATTGCCAGACCATGATAGCGCTGATTGACGCTGACGCCTCTAGCGAGAAAAAAACGTACAAATTACTCCATACATAAAAATCTTTATGGTCTTAGGACAATAGCTTCGTTCCAACACTACAGTTGACCATACCGTCACGATTCTGCGCAAACCCTATAATATGTGCGTAGAATCCGAAATTCATACACTGAGTTTTCGAAACATCGAAACCGTTCATGCATGGGACAATTTTTTGATGTGTTAAAACAGACCTAATAAAGTTCAAATTAAAGACCGCTTATCTATGTTATAGGTACGTATATTAGAATTTATAGTCTTAATTTATTGTAAATGCCACAGTGCCCACAGTCATTGAAACAAAGGAACCCGCACATTTCTTATGGAAAAGTGATCTATGTGGAATTTTGCTGAATTTTTGATATTGTGTATAGGGAGTCGTCCTTAACAAAAGTGATCATTGCGCTAATGTTCAATACCCAACAGTTTTCAAGATTTTAATTAAAAACTTTTTTAATAATACTCAGTATGACGTCACTCACAGCAACGAAAATGATTACTATCCTTTCCACTTATGACTTTGACTTTACTCATCTCCTTTTAACATTAGGAAAAAAAAAGATAGCGATAGCGATTAGTGACAAATAGGTAGGTATGCAAGCAACACCTAGCTCTTGCCGCAATCGTCAACTTCATGTCATGATGTCTGTCATATAGCGATTTCATTTCTACCTGTTGTTGTTTTTTTTTATTTCCTAAATGTTAAAAGGAGAAGAGTATAAGTATAGGTAGTCAAAGTTAAAAGTGAAAAGGATAGTTTTAATTTTCGGTGCTGTGAGCATACTGGTGACGTCATACTGAAGAGTATCAAATTAAAAAAGTTTTTAATTGATATCTTGAAAACTGATGGGTATTGAACATTAGCGCAATGATCACTTTTGTTAAGGACGACTCCCTATACACAATATCAAAAATTCAGCAAAATTCCACATAGATCACTTTTCCATAAGAAATGTGCCGAAGGGGCCCTTTATAAATAACACGATACTCATAGGGGATGTAGCTCAGTGGTAGAGCGTTCGCTTTGCATGTGAAAGGTCCCGGGTTCGATCCCCGGCATCTCCACGTACTTTTTGTATATTTTTTCAGAGATTACTGTAACTTCTTCCAAAATTATAAGTTTTTGTATACCTACAACTTATTAATTTAATTAGATTTCGACTTCAAGCTGGATCGAACTCTCATCGAAGACACCGAGATGAAGATACAGACCTCTTTCCATTGCTAGCGCATTCGCCTATTTATACAAATTTCTAGTTTTATTAGCTCGTCGTTAGATAGAGCACAAATGCAACAGTATTGCAGCGTTGCCAAGTTCAGGAGAAAATCCAATCCAATATTTTTTGATTTTTTATTTTGGAAAACCTTAACGGAATGATAATTATTTTTCTAAAAATCTATTTTTCAGAAAATTAAAAATTATATTTGATTTTAGCTAATAAATAATTTGTGTTTTATTGTTGTAAAATTCAATACAAATTAATTAACCCATCAGAAGTTGTAGTCGTTTAACATTAAGTCAAATTAAAAGTTAACGTAATTTGAGGTTAATATGGGTTTTCTTTATCTTTATTATTCATTTATTTTATAGCTTTAAATATTTATTAAAATTTAAGTCATACAGCATATTAACTGTTCATAAAACTAAATTTGCGTATCAGACTCAAACACAGAATTTTTTTCGATTCCAGGGATCTGGCTAGAAGTAGCTGTCGCCCGTTTTGGCACGGCGCCCATTTATTTACGTGCAGGTAGCTACGACCGAGATTATAAAAGGCACAGCATTTATATCCCGGCGCCCGTTCCGCGATTAGTCAAACTACTGTGCTGTTGCGTTTTGGTTATCTATGGGGGCCTGAAAAAGTTTATTTTCTCGTAACTTTTAACTCGTTTTGTGATAAGTAGTAACCGCCGCTGTTGCCGCCGCCACTGGATCACGGTTATTGTGATAAATCGGTAAGTTTCCAAATCAGTGCAGTGCAGTGAATATTACCAACACAAAAATTTGTAAGGATTTGAAAAAAAGTGTTGGTGGTGCGTTTTATAAGAAAAAAAAAATAAAAAAAATTAGGAAGTGCTAAACGGTGATGAAATTGAAATATCACGCAAGTAGCCGAAGAAGGTTTTTTTTTATATATTACTTGAATTTGAGGATTACATAATTAGGTAATTCGAAAAATATATTTAAAGAAACTCGAAAAAAAAACTTTTGGCCGTTAAAATTAGACTCGCAGACCATCGGCATTTGGTTTGCCAAAAATCAAAATTATAATTATGAAGCGACAGGCATGCTAAAATCGTATCTGACGGTTTGGCAAATGTCCCAAAAGCAGGGCTACTTGACCCAGCCAGGCTCACGGCGGTTAGAAATAAAACAATAATTATTTTGCAGTAGGTAATAGCGCGTACACAGGACATTAAACATCTTTAAACTCAATTTCTCGAATTGTATGTTGCTTTCTCAGAATCTTTTAATTTTAATAATACCGATCAACGATAATACATAATTTGAAAACACTGTCTAACAGACATTGGCGCCAAAAATAATAATCATAATACCTACATGCTACATGCTTTATTTCTAAATGTGTCACAATTTCCATTTTAGGCATTGTTTTTTTACGAATTCTTTTCTAATTTAATTTAACTTTTCCCAAATCTTGCTGACAAAAGTGTCAACCCTTGCTTCACAAAGCTCACCTATTTTCTATTTTTCATTCTTTGTCTTTCTAGTTCATGAAATTTAAATAGATAGGTAGGTAGGTACCTCATGTTGCCTTCTTCAATTCCTTAATACGTAAATTATTCAATTAGTCTACAACAACAACGGTTGAGCGGCTTCATGTTAAATGCAAGTTATTTTATGAAACTGCTCTTGTTTCCTTAAATCTTTCCCCTGGACAATTTACCTAAGTAAGAATCCGACGTAATATCACGTTGAAAATACAAGCGCCACCTGACTTCATAGCATGCAACGGTGATAGGTGTTCATGACAACCGCAATTCGATTAGACTTTGATTAAGTCAGTGAATCGGACCTAAACATTATCCACCTATGTAAAATAATTCTACGTTGCAAATGCCTGATTGCCATACCGAAAACGTGTTATTCTCAAATATTGACAGCTTGACAATCTTTGTAAACCATCAAACCACGAAATTGGGGTCACCGATTTTATTTCGTTGCATCGATCTACACATTTCTTGCGACTTATTTTTGAATTTGAAATGTCCTTATGTCAAAAACCACAAAGTTAGATCACTTGAAAAAAAAATAAGCATAGGAAGACTAGAAACTAATTTTTTCCACAAACGACTGAAATTTTACAAAAGGCATATGAATTTATTTTATTTTTTATATGTTTGAATGAAATGGGTCGGTGAAACTCCCATTCTAAACCCAGATACATGAAGTTGTAAGCCATATGGCGTCGATCAAGATGAAGCGACGTCCAAAAATTACTTTCATTATTCATGTACGTGGTCAAAACATCGTTGTGCTCACGTTGTAATCTGACTGTAGCTATGAAATCGTACCAAATACGATTGCTATATAAAGTTGAATTCTGCCGTTGTTGGAATAGATGCAAGATTGTGGTTGGAGGACAAAATGTTACTTGGGGGTATCTAAACCCTGAAGTCTGAACAATCCAGATTAATAGTGGGTACACTAGTGTCTGGCGATTTGGCTTATTGCCAGCTGACAGCTGCTTCTTTGACGTCATTACGGAGGGCAATTTGTTAACTGTCCAGTAGATTTAAGCCATGTTTTCAGACACGATTATTATAAAGTCTTACATAATTATTGATGATTAGTTCAAATGTGAAATATTATTTTCTTCTGTCTTGTCTTTTCCCTTCTATTTTTTTTTTCAAATTTTAGGTGAGTAATAGGTATTAATTAGAAGACTTGGTAGACGACATGCGTTTTTTTCAAATAGGGACTTCTCGATACATTGGTTTTGTTATTTCATAATCAATTAGATTTTCAAATTCAATATAAAAGCGAGACCAATGAGTTCTGGCGGCGCAGATGCTCATGTTAATTTAGATAAGTTAATAGACTTCTCAATAAATTGACCAGGACTATGGGATATTCTCGCAAGAGTCAAGACACTTTCACGGATGTCGAAATTTGGGATAACATTCTGACTAGAGCTGACGACAGTCACAGATTGGACGTTTCTTTGACTTTTGTATGGTGCATGGTCTCGAGTGTTTTTTTAGTTTTTTTTTTTTGCTTGGAGCGTGAAATAAAGATGTCGCAAACCGCAAACCCCAACTAACGAGGAGAGGTTTTTGTTGGAAGAAGGAAAGCTCACCTAAGCCAACGCACCAACTAAGCAAAATGGGCCGCTAAAAACCCTTCACGAAATCACTCAGAAGCTTATAGTACTTTAGTACTCATAACGTAACTGCGAATCGAGGATTTTTATTATGCGAAACTGTGCCTATGGGTTGATATTTTCGCGACAGTCATATTTTACTATTCAGGACAGGGACCCGGACCGGAACGATATTGGACCGAAAACCGGAACGAAACCGTTTTTTTTTTTGCGGACCGAAACCGGAACGAAACCCATATTTTATAGAAATGTTGTAGGGCAGGCAGAACCGGAACCGATATAAATTAATCTGTTCTTACCGGTATTTTTCGGTTCCAAGATTTAAATTAAGCTGTTTGATGTTTGGTTGTATCATAATAAAATTAACACTTTGAAAAACAGAGCGTTGGACATTGGACAGCGCGTATTTCTGAACACGACTAGGCTACACACCAAGGATTTTACATACTACTACAGGATTACTCATCGGCTTCGATTTTTTGAATCAAGTTCATATGTTGTTGAACCGTTGTCGACGTCATCAACGGTCTCGTTAGCGGTTTGCGTTCGTAGTTAAGAATATACATGTAGGTATGATGAAAAATATAATTTAAATTTGATTAACATAATAGTCAATAGACAAGAGGAAGATAATAATAATAATAATAATAATAATAAGACGTTTATTAACCATTTCAGCTTTTTACAATAATTATGTGCTATGCTAAAAATATAAATCTGTGGTTAAAGGGCCGCAATTCAGCCTCCCAAGGGTTAACAAATACGAAAGACCCTTCAGGTGCTGTTATAGCCTCTTGCCTCTTAATATTGAGTGATGATCTAGGACTAAATTAGATAAAAGAAAGTTAAACGCAAAAAAATTCAAAGCAAAGTTTTCTGACAAACTATTTAAAAAAAAAAAATATACATTTAAGATAATGACGTCACTGTGTCATCTCACAAAAGAAGTCGCGAATGAGATCTAAACAAGGGTTGTTTTAGAATATTAAGGCGACGTTCCGTAAGTTAACCAAGATTCTTGGTTTTTCCAGTTCCCGTTCCGTAACCTAACCACTCTCGAAATCTGGTTAGGTTATGAAACGCGGTTCCACACATAAACCGCATTCTCAGGAACCAGACTGTCACCATAGACGAACCGCTCCATACCAATCGGTAACTCTGGTTAAGATACGGAACGTTGCCTAAATAATGTACTATGGTTCTAAGGGAGGATTTTCATGCATCCGTTTTTCCGACGAAATGTGTCCGTTTAACATTCTATTCTGACATAATCGTATATAAATATGTCAAAATAGAAGACTTTTCGGACATATTTCGACGGAAAAACGGATGCATGAAAATCCTCCCTAAAGCCTAGTACTCATAACTGCGAAATTCGCATTTTTTTGACATTGCGTTGACAATTTGACGTTTTATGCGTGTATCAATTCCTAATTCGTGGTGCAACATGCAAGCACTACATCAAGGCGAGAAACGACACGCTGTTACGTCATCACTGATCGAAAATCCAAAAAAAAATAAACCACAAATTATAGAAACATAAATTTTTCTGTAATGACCGTTTTAAGGGATGCTTCTTGAAATGGTCAGTGCAAATGGCCATTAGATATTTGTGAAAAACTATATCGGTATGAACCGTTAAAACCGAAATTATTGGTCCGAACCGAATCGAAATATTTCTCTTATGGGCGTTTGCACCGACCATGTTAAGGGACGTTTAACGATAATCAACGTTTATTGTGATATTTTTTCATGTGAAAATGTCACTCTAAACGTGGATTATTGTTAAACCTCCCTTAAAATTGTCGGTGCAAACGGCCATTAGAACCGAAACCGTAACGGAACCGATATTCGTCATGACGCTGTGGACCGGAACCGGAACGGAACCGATATTTCATTTCGGTCCAGACCCTGATTCAGGACCATTGGGAACAAATCCGCAAAATAAAAATCCGCCATTCCTAGTTAAGCCTAGTACTCATAACTGCGAAATTCGCATTTTTTTGACATTGCGTTGACATTTTGACGTTTTATGCGTGTATCAAACGTCAAATTGCCGAAGCAATGTCAAAAAAATGCGAATTTCGCAGTTATGAATACTAGGCTTTATCCAGGACTAGCCTTTGCTAAAAACTGCGATTTGCGGAAATTCTCTTCCTAAATTTGACGTTGACAAGGCGCGAAAATATTGCGGAGTTCTATCTTTGTCATTTTAATCTCCGAATGTTGTTTTTCTTTTAAATTGGATAGCAAAACGATAAAACAAAAAAAGACAACCAATTAACAATAATTTAATAAAGATCAGCCAATTATTTTCTGGATTTGGGTCTCCTAACTTATAACAGCAGTAAATTTTAAAATTATTTTTATTGAGAAATTTGGAAATAATTAAGTGAAATTTGACTAATATCTGTAGTAAGGACTGTGAGTAACGAAGTTGTAATAAAGCACCTTCATTTTTTTTTTCTGTTTTTGTAGTCTGTACATTTTTGCTTTTGCGGTTTATTTTTCACAGAGAAAAAAATACTCTTTCCGCAATACGCAGCTATGGAGTACCTACTGACTGATTTTACAGCTACAGAGCATTAGGCTCCTTGCATCAAATTTTTTTATTGCGGATTTTGATAGTCCATGAAAAATAAGTCAACACGTATTTTTTCTTTTTCTTGTGAGTCAAAAATTGACGGAGATACAACGCTTTGAAATGTTCTTCCGACGTCATAACTTAGGTATAATACGTTGTGAGTTGTGACGTCGCACATGCTCAATATATCTATATATATAAAACTCAATATTTGTTATAACTTCCGAAATAATCATATTTGGACAAAATAGAAAAACACGCATCGATTTTTTTTCGATTTCCTACAGTTTGCAATAAACAATAATCAATTTAATTTTTCATGCAAGTACCCTGTATCCGTTTTTTTTTTAATGCTGATAGAAATTAAAATTAAGTAATTCAGTATAATCAACGCGTTCCGTGAAGCGAATAAGAGTTTATCAAAAATAAAAAGTTCCTAAACTGGATTCTGCCGATTCCGCTAGTGGATCCGCCGCTGAAAGGAAGAACCTTTTTTGACATCCGCTGTATTTGAAAAATTCGGCAACACCGCTACGTGGACCAATCAGAGAGATCCACATGCTTTTGTTGTAGTCAAGGTGGGAGAAAGTAACTAGACGCGGCATTTTAAAAATATACACTTAAATAATTTTTCTTATAAACGTTTTTTTTTCAATTAACATTAGAGTGAGAAATTCGCAGTTTTTTTAATAATATTTTTTTGTGATAAGAATTCGTCCAATTTTGAAGTTTAGCGATTGTGCAGATTTCTATTGGTCAGAACATGTGAATTGACAGCTGTTTCGGGAAGTTTCTGGTTGACAGTTTATTGTGCAGTTGTTTTTTCTTACGTCACGGTGAGTTGAACGCACGACAGGGCAAGTCGTAGTAGAACCGTCCTGCATCATATTTTTTTTAAATAATTTTTGGCACGTTTAATCAAAATAAAATTGAATTAATAAAAAGGTGAAAGACAAATTATTCAGTTTATAGTTAACTAGTTTATCGCGGAGCACAATTTTTTCTACTACAGTTTGTTCTATTAAAACTCTCCCTTCAATCAAATGGAATGGATAAAGTAGTATTTTCAGTTTCGAATTCCAGTTTTGTGTGTGATATTTCTAGAATAGGAAGCTAGAAAAATATTAAAAAATTATTTTTAATCGGTAAGTGTTCGTTAATTTACACTGCGGCACATTTATATGGTTTTAATTGAATCAATTTAACCCCTATCTTTGTTCCACGAATATCACGTTTTGAATTAAAATTAGTACCGAAAAAACCGCGTTACGTCATGAAATTATTCGCTTTTCACCTTTAAAATTGGCCTCCAGAACATTTATATAAAATTATCGAATGTTAGGTTACAATTCCCACATTCAAAAATGGGGCTTTTAACTTCTCCAGGCAAGAGGCCTTTTGCGTTGAGTGCTCTCAAGAATTTTTTTTGCATGATACTTTCTACATTCACTCATCAGTGATTAATTTATTTCCAAGAAAATAACTGCAAAAAAAACCTTTAATTTGAAGTTTCAAGCTCATCCATCTTGGAGCCCTTATTCTGAGGTTAGAACAATCAGTCAAGTGCTTTTGATAGTCGCGGAGTAAATTCCCATTTAACTCTGCAGTATTGGGGCCCTGTGCTTTCACTTTCGACAACGTGTATGTCCAATATTTTCCAACACTATCCCAGGACCCAGTTCCATTGCCTTCCAAACTTAGAACAGAGATGTTACTATCTCACTGTTCCATTAACATAATTAAAGCATTAAACCATTAACTTGAATCAGTCAAGAATCAAGGTAAAAATCTGGATATTTCACAACTTCATTTTTTCTAATAGGTACCTAATTGTCTTCCTTGAAAGCTTGACCCAAACTGTCTGTTATTGTTGGTGTCAGTATATTTAGTGAAGAATTTTGTGAAGAAAAATTACTTAAAGGCTTGGATTTTTTTATAGCTCTCATATTATTTATGTAACGTTCATAAATTATTTTTATTTATTTATTTATTTATTCATACATCTTCACAAACACCATAAAGGTAATTACAAGCAAAGGTAAAATCGAGGGCAAAAGAACAAAGAGAGTATATAAAAAAAAAAAGACAATAAAATATAAACTTAAAACTAATACAAAAAACACACACAATAAATAGATAAAATTCTTCTAATTCTAACAAGGAAGCATTACACAATCACAGATTAAGATATTAAACCAATTAACTGAGAGAGGCTAGTGTTGAATATATCAAATGGGTTTTCTCTGTTTACGATATTGCACTGTTCCATCATTTTATTTGAAGTAGATAGTTTATACTGACTAGTTTTAAAAATATCTAAGCTAAGAATCCTTAAGTTAATTTTAGGTACACTAAAATCCATAAAATTAATCAAATTACAATGTTTGTACTTTATATTATTGACTATATAGTATATAAATATCACAGCTTGTTCATTTCTTCTTTGTACAAGGGATTTTATATGGAAACTGTTGAGCATTGCCCTGTATGAAACCAAAAACGGGTACACTCCATTTTGCCTAACATACAGGAATCTCAAGAAACGCTTTTGAACTTTTTCAATGTGATTTATATGACACTGAGCCAGTGGCATCCAGATTTGAGTAGCATACTCCAAGTGTGGTCTCACCAGAGCATTGTATAGTCGAATTAGTGTTTCCATACTCAGATCTTTACCATTTCTTAAGATGAAGCCAAGGCACTTGTATGCCTTATTTGCTGTATATATATATAATGATTATTAAATTTAAAATTAGACTGAAAAAAAGACATCCAAGTCCTTCACCTCACTTATTCGATCCAAAAACCCTACCATTTACACTATAATTAAACTCAATATAGTTGGATTTTCTGGCAATAGACATTACAGAACACTTTTTAATATTTAACTTCATCTTGTTCTTCCTAAACCATTCACTCACACAGTCCATATCACCCTGTAACCGACAACAATCTTCAATTTCAGAGACCACTCTGAATAACTTGAAGTCATCTGCAAACAGTAGGCCCACTGATTGCTTCAAGGAATCGGGCAGGGTATTAATAAAAAAAGTAAAAAGCAACGCATTATGCTTTATAATTTCTGTTACCACAAAAACACATAAATAATAAACTAAACACTTTACAGTCTGCAGAAAATAGTTTTAACCAATCACAATTCACTCTAATTGGTTTCCGATTTTTCTAGAAACCTAATCTGCAAGTCACCTAATTTTCACACTGATATCTAATCTGAAGTTTATGGTATGATTTGCTTTTTGCGAGGATTTTTTGCTGATATTAAAACCCTTCTAAGTTCAGTTATGACTCATATTTCAAATGAAACACATCCTGATTTAATTTTGAAGAGGTTAGCTTTTTTATGTTTTGGTGCCCAGACTGGGTACATTTTGAAATCAACATAGGTAGGACCTAGTTAACCTAGTCTTTGACTTATTTTTGTGTGTAAATATAAAAAAACATTAAACTCAGCAATTAAATCCATTTCACAATAATACCTAGCTACTTGACTAGAATACAACGAAAAATTGACTCTGTAGTAGAACTAGAAATGTCTGATACTTTCAGTTCTTCAAATTTCCACTTGCTTGACATTATTTAGAGGATAGGTACCTAACTGATTGCTGGTGAGTTCTTTTAAACCCTTATACTAAAATTTCAAAGTTAGCACTGAGGTTAGCTCTATTCGAGACTCTATTTAACTAAGATGTTGATCGTTCCACAAACTCGCGTTTATTGTAACATATTTTACAGACATAGGGGATTATTAAGTAGCTTCAGGCTTCGCTACAATAATTATCAAAAATAAATTGTTTGCATAATGAAATTCTAATCTACACCTGAGTCTGATAAAATTTTAATCCAACTCTTTGTAGTCTGTGTAGGTAAATCTGTCTATACTTAATTGTGAACATAACCCAATAATCTCGTGAGAGAAGGTTGTACATAATATTATATTAAGTTATTGATTATCTTCCTTGATATCAAATCAACTCAACACCAACACACTGTATATCGTTTTTTTGTGTTTCAGAAGTGTGATACTGGGTCACAATGGAGGATGCACATGCAAAAACAGTGGAGGAAGTATTGGGTTATTTCAATGCCGACCCAGAAAAGGGATTATCCCCTGACCAAGTTAAAAGGAATCAAGAAAAATATGGACCTAATGGTGAGTGCCAATTTCACATTTACCAAAACAAAATTTGGAATCATTTTAAAAAACATCTTCTTTGTATAACAATCTGACATTGTAATATAAGTACCTTTAAGAGATTGACTTGGTTAGAAAAATATTGTATTTGGGAGTAACATCAAAAATTTGTATGGAATACAAAAATTTTATATACTAGATTTTCTGCCATATGTTTTTAAGTGAATATTAATTTTATGGAACCAAAGTGCATCAACACAATGGTAGAACAATAAACATTTTCTAACCTAAACAAGATAAGATTTCTGGATTTAATAGGTAATGCTCATCAATCCTGTATATTCTGTGTATTAATATCTTTAAAATAACTTCAAGCTTTTTTATAAGTACCCAATTATTTTACTAGGTAAATCAAAATCATCGTTAATGTCTTTTAATACTTAATGTAGTTTTTGATGGTAAAATATTCAATGATCATTACCTAATTACAAATACCCCACTGAATACTGCAATATTTAATGTTTTTCTAATAAATATTTACAAATTTCATGTTTAATGATAGGTAGATAAGTGCTAGCTCTAATCATTTTTAATCCTATGAAGATGAGTAGCGAGCTTAAAGCCAGAAATTTCATCTGCCATTATCACCTAAATGTCTTTTCAAAATTTTATTTATATCAAATCACATTTAAAAATTCCTGATGGAAAAAAGTAATAATTGAAAGCTTATGTTTTTAAATAAGGTAAGGTTTAAGTAGGAATGCATTATTTGTTATCATAATCATATCAAATAAGCTATACCTACTAAAATTAACATATTATTTTAATTTGTTAATTCAAGGTCCAAGAGACCCTAAATTAACTTTTTTCCTTAACTCTTCTCCTTTAAAAATTGTAGACACATACATATTTCGAGCTTTAAAACTGATATGTGGTTAAAATCAATTAATAAATATAATTATTTCACCTATCTTAAATTAAATCAATTGGATTTTGGAGTTTACTAAATCTAATTTTATACTTGATGAGCTTTATATAAATAAATACTTGGCTAATAGATAATGATGAAATATTTGTAAGATGCTGAGGTTTCTAATGAAATAATTAGTTTTGTCTTTTTCAAGCTACAGGCACTTCAACGCCAAAGGTATGAAACGGAATAAGTAGCCTCATAGGTTTACCCATTAAACCGATTTCAATACTGAAATCAGATCACATACTTAGATCTATTTGTAAACAAAATTCGCCTGTGTACAATTCAGGGGGAGGGGCAAAGTTTTTGTTTATGTCATTATTGGCACATCTCAGATCGGATGGCATTTTTTCCTTATGTTACTATGTAAGTTGGAAACCATTAAGATTTTTGCAGTTGCTTTATTGCCCGTGCAATAATGTGGCAAACAAAGCTGTTTATAATAAACAAGAAAAATGCGCCACATGTATTGAAAGTGATTTTTTACCTGCGTTATTGTTATTGGTTTCTGATTCCAATAGTTGGCATGTTGTAGTTGGCTAATTAGTTCGATTTCACAATGATATTCTTAGGCCACGTGTTGTAGCTCTGTGAACTTAAATATTTATACCTGCCATTCCAAAAAATATAATGAATTTAGTTTAATTAATCGCCAAAAATTTTGTCAGCAAAATTTTGTGCACTCCGATTTTCCACTTTATCATAAATTTGATTTTCCATTTATTATGGTTAATATGAACTTTGATTATATGGATCAAAAAGGGACCTTACTTTCTTTTTCATTACACTTTTGCTGAGTATCTCATGTAACCCAGCAATTATTATAAGCCTTGGTTGGCATTTATTTTAGTTATTTTCTTGGATATTTATTCATTACTTACCTTCTTTTTTTCATTAAGTAATCTTTTTCCTACTGGGTTTCTGAATTGCTACTCATTTTTTGCACTTCTGGCTTTCCAGTAGAATTCTCAGTTACTATTATTAGTTTAAGCTTGATCAGCAACAATGCAAGTAAAAAGCAATTATCGTCAATTTTGAAATAGAATGTGCACAAAGTTGATCTATTTGTGTAATGTAAATTTCAATCAATGTTAGCAAATAATATTCAATCAGATGGTGAAAATATGTAGGGAAAATAGTGTAAACATTCGTACTGGTACTCAAATATTATTCAAGAACTCATTGATGACTTATAAGTATGAGCAAAATTGGTCTGGATCAATTTAACTGACAAAAAGTGACCAATTGAGAATCTGACCAGTTCCAATGTCACAGACAACACATTTTTGATCTTTTTTTAAATAATCTACATCGAAATCTACATATCACTATAAATTCTGCACCATTTTTTTTTTTGTTGATAAAACGGATCCACATCACAATATGCGATTTCCTGAATGGCTTATTAATTCAACTACATGTTTTAGGATGTCTGATATTTGGTTACGTTACAGCCTTGGTAATACCATGATTAGATGGTACTGACGTCAAGCATGCAGTATCGTGATAATGTATAGATTTATTTATATACAGAAGAAAATAATTAATGGATATAAAACTCGTCTCGGCAGACTAGTCAAAGCGCCTAAATTGAAAGGTTACTTTTAATAAAAATCTAATTCATTGAATTCACTAATCGTGTACCAAAAAAAAAAAAACAAATAATTTCATTCAGGGTTAACCCAATATTTAATTAGGTAATGTGGCAAATAATCGCGGCTAAACTTATTATGAAAATTTTATGGCAAACAATAAAACTGAATTGATTTCAAGCAGTTATTAAAACTAGGATCCAAGCCAGGAATCGGGATAATAATATAAACAATATATATTTTAGCTTTTAGTAGGAGTCATTGTTCTATTACATCACTTTCAGGAAATACGTCGACCACTTTTTAATGGATTATGCTTTATTTAAAAACTCAGTGGCAGTTCGTTCTTCCTTAGATATGTATTTACTTTGAACTTGATGTGAGACATTCATAGATAAAGAAAAGATGAAATAGGGGTTAATCTTATTTCAAGTTTGCTTAGGTTTTTGGGTTACTTTTGATTTCCTCCTACCATTTTCACAAAAATATAAATGTAACACATTGTTGTATGACAGAAACAGATAAACTACACACTATACCCTATATTTTGAAGTTAGCCCTTATCTAGAATTATTCACAAATTTTCCTCTCAAATAATGATGCACAAATAGTAATTATATGATAAGAGATGAAATGATTTTCATTGGCACAAATATGCTAGGCTTATATTGCTGATAAGTTAACTCAACAAAAGGCAAATGTGACTTTGAATATTTCATTATGTATTGAGGACTCAATATGACACTATCTACTACTGAGAGTATTATTGTTGGGGTGATTTAATGAAGCATTATTGATTTGGTTGTATTGTATGACAAACAAACCATTTTGACTCAATAATACTCTTTTATTACTTTGTTTCGATCTGATTTTCTATCATCAAAAACTAAATTTTCTTATTTATTTAGGCATTATAGATAATAGAAAATAATAGAAAGAACTCTTGGATAGGGATGTTTTACCGGTCCTTGATTTGGCCAAAATTCTGGTAGAATCAAATTAACGGTGTTTATTTGTTTTCGCTTTGCCCTCTATCATTTTATTTTTATATGTACAATGTTGATAATACACCAATCAGACATTCAGAATTGAACTTAAAAACTCGCTAGAAAATAACCAACAAACTCTAAATTGCAAGTGTAAAAAAAAAATATATATTTTAATCTATGTATGTAACCAAGTATCAAAATGTTAATTTTTTTCTGCTGTTTTCTTTCTGTACATACTCAATAGTGAATATTGGCGCTCGGGCCATAATGGCGAAGTCAAAGTTCTCGCACCTTGTCCAATTTTCAAAAAGAGCATGATAGAATGATGAAAAATCAGTGGTTACTTTCCAATGTCAAATGCAGTGATACACCTCACAAAACCGATACAAAAACATTAACAGATAATACATATCTCTGGTAGGTACGTATTTTGTACCATACCCTATTTGTACAAACAGGTATTTATCTCTTTGTCCAATTTATTGGCTTTACTTCCATTATGTTATGAGAAATGGATATGAAATATTAAAATACCTACTTGGTTTTGTTGCAAAACTCAAATTACTGCAATTGCTTTTTCTCTTCAATTTCTGGCTCCTGGATATTTGGAAAAAGTTAGGCGTCCATACTTTTTAGTAAGTATATAGATGAAAGAGGTCCCTACCCAATTTTGGGCACCCCAATCAATTCACAGATTTAATGAGGAGAAAAATTATTATCATAGTTGCTTTATTTCTTCCCCATTTTCTGTTCTCAAAATATGTAAAGTTTGTGATAATTCCAATTATGCATATGTCATAAACATAATATATTTAAAAAAAAATTCAACCTCAAGGTTGCATAATATTAGTACCTTGCAAATTTTAAAATACATTTTCAAACATATTGAAACACCATATTTTATTTCCAGCTGTTGTTATACAAAGAACATGTTTAAAAACCTACAAATTTTCCGAGAATAGTCTAATGCTAATTTTATTTCATTTTATTTCAGAACTTCCTGCGGAAGAAGGTGAGTAATTTCAACATCTTTGTGAGTAAATGGGTCCGTGTAATTTATTTTTGGGCGGTTAGTTACCCAACTTACCTCCCCCCAAGAAAACGTTTCACTAATAGCTTGTGTTTTTTTTTTGTTTAAAATCTGGAAGGTGATATTTTTTTGTGGACACTTTTTGATTAGGACTAGTTTTGGTATAACAAACTCATCAGATCCACTTTTATGGACACCTTTCTGGAGATTTAATTTACAGTTTTTATTATGTGTTTTAACAATTATTTTTGCGAGTACCTATATATTTTTCCACCGGTCAAAATATAAAGAGTTTAGTTTATCTAGTAGGGCATGCGGTTCAGATAAATGGCATTTACAGATTGAAAATAGTAGAATCAGCTAATTTAATAGTTAATAAAAGAATACCGAAATTGTTTAGTCCTCGAGGGTAACTATTTTTGGCTCCTGGTCAAATCTTCCAATAAGCGCGCTAACATAAACACGCTTCTATTATGTTTATCAAATATTTTGATGGATCATGTGGTCAAAGATTTATTAGAATTTAAAAGCATTTCAGAATAATATTAGATATTCAAGCTAGGAGTACGGGAAAAATGTATCGTTTCCTGGGTTATTTTTTCAATTAAAATACTGCTTCGCCATATTCTATAGTAGGTAAATACTTTATTCAATTTTTTTTAGAGCATTCACCGTCATGTCAAGAGTGATAGATACTTTCTTAGAAATTATTACAATGCAAAGGTAAAACATACATGGTTACAATACATGGAATATAAACACATGGAAATAAACTGTTAAATTCCTAAAACAGCCAAAGTAAATACCAGATTATTTTGAAAAAAGTGGATCAATTCTATATTTTTAACATAAAATTGTTCTGGAAAATTAGCGGAAACCTCTCAAAAATGTTATGCTTCCTGAAGATCAAAGTCAATAATGTAATTAACAGTGATCCCCAAGGGCAATTTATAAGGTCAATTCGATTATCGTTATAATTGGGATAATCAATAAAAAGTAGTTAATACACAAATTGAAGTTTGAAAGGAGTTAATATTCTAATGGAAAAAAAAATCATTTTCTGCAAAATAAATAGGTATTAAAAGTTCAATCACTTAAAAACATTTTAATTGACTGTACTCTTTTATTAGCATAATAATAGATTTAAGCTCAATTTTATAGATTAACTCGCTCTTATGTTAAAAGTTAAAAGCCATAAATTAAGAAGCTTGAAACGTCGTTAAATTTATTTTCATTTTAATATGCGAAATTTGGATCTTGAAATCGATTCGCATGCGACTTTATTAGTGTTCAAATTACATTTTCATTGGTTTTAGATTTTATATTTAAACCGGAACACGTGTACTTAATTTTGAAAATAGAAATTTTATTGTTCAAACGTGTGAATTTCGTGGAAATGGATATTTGAATCCAAATTTTATTGTAGTACTGGAAACTTGAAACTTCCTTTTTTTACTCTCTTATTTCTCTGATTCCTTGAAGCGTTTTGTAACGACAATAAGCGCCTTTACCAGAGAATTGCTGAGAAACAAAAATAAACTCTTTTTAAAATATTAATTTTCTGCAAATTACTTCTTAATTGGAAACTACATTGGGCGACCAGCGAACAATACTTGGAAATTTTAATATATACCTTTGCAAGATAAACAAAATGCATGCAATAAACGTTACTTCAGGTTTCTGCCCATATCTTTTGTAAAATATTTTACTTTTTTGACAGAGCTATTCTGATTGGCGGAAAGAACTAGTTTCTGATTCTTCTTGTTCTTGGTTTGCGATTTTCTGCAGAAACAGATTAAGTATGGTATTTAAAAATTATTGTGTCTGAAGCAGCCTCCTGAATAATGCATCTAATTCTTTCTCTCTCTCCAGAAGCTGTCAAATAATTCCACTAAATCACAAACACCAATTTCAATGAATAGCCTGTCACGTCAGTCAATACTTGACCCTCTTAATCTTTCCATCAAAACACTAGGGGTAAAACCAATTTTGGGCCGTACTAGCATATTGTAATATAAGTAAGTTATTTAAGCTTAGATTTACCGGTTTACATACATTTTGTGGTGTTGAATTAAATGGAGTTCAAGCTTTTGGTTAAATTCAATCATATTCCTGTCATTAATATATATTTTGTCGTAAAAGCGTGACCATGAATGCTCTAAAACAAAATTGCATTTTGCGGTGGGTTTGTTTCTGTTTAATAGATTTAACAGAATTTTAACAATAATCATTTCTTTTTCAGGAAAATCAATATGGACCTTAGTTTTAGAACAGTTTGATGATCTTCTAGTCAAGATTTTATTATTAGCTGCAATTATTTCTTTTGTAAGTATTTTATGTTTTGGTTGAATACGCGAGACCACCTGGAAGTTTAATCGTAAATTCCTGAAAACCGTTGAAACTTGCACGAATTTTCAACTTGATCCTAGAAAACGATTTTTTTCACTGTAGTAAACATTTTCCTTTTGAATTATCCTGGAAATGAGCTAGAGTGATTACTGACGTTTTTTTAAACAAAATACCGAATTCTTGGCTGGGGAATAGAAAAGCCACAGTTTTTATTAATAGTGCTAGGACAGTTTGTTTAAAAGAATTTTTCAGTAAGAGTGTAAAGCAGGGGTCAAGGAATTAGAAAAATGTTTTTCTCGAGTTTTTTTTTTATGTATCTATATTTAAAAATGTATAAGTATATGTTATACGGCGTGTTATACATTAGGTAAAGACAGCAGGATTTGCAATGTTTGGTTGATAAAATTAATTTGAATATGAACGAATTAAATAAGTGGTTTGATTCAAATTCACTTGAGTTGAATAACAGCAAGTCAAAATTTATGTTGATCGGGAATTTTAGATATCAAAATAAATACAGGGCAGGGGATTTTCACATTTTTATTGAACAGAATAAAGTCGAATTGGTGGAGAAAATAAAGTATCTGGGCTTTATAGTTGACAGAGCACTCAACTTTAAGGAACATATTATATGTACAATTGGCAAATTAACAAAAAGCATTAATTTTTTGTATAGAGTATCCAGGTTTTTGACACAGTGGTCAAGGATGACGGTTTTCAATATTTTAGTGTTGCCCCACTTAGTGTATGGTTCAACTATGCTAATCTGGCGTACAAGAATGAAATAAATAGATTACAAAAATTGCAAAATAGAGCCATGAGGATAATTTTGGGAGAAAGGAGAGACATTCATAAAATTGATGTTAAATAAATTAAATTGGCTCTCTATAGAAAAGTTTTTGAAATTTCAGTGTTTGGTGCTTTATTTACAAAATAAAAAATGGGCTAGCGTCGAACTATTTGACTGATAGATTCGACACTAACAATATAATTCGTAAAAATCCAAAAGAAAGAAGGATAACTTTTATGTTCAAAGGAAAAATAAAAGTTGTTCAGAAAGGACAGTCTATCATAAGGGGTTAATTGCCTATAATTCATTGGACAGTTGCATAAAGAACGTTTTGTAATTTTCTGTTAGCGATTTTTAGGAGTAGGGAGTATATACACTTTATATATTGTTTTTCCTTTGTGCGAAATTAGCAATGACTTAGTTGTAAGGATATTATTTATGGGTGTGTTAGAATTTGCATGTGCATTTTTTGTTGTTTTTTTTATGTACTAGCCATGTGCTAAATAAGGGATCATTATTATCATCTATTATGGCAACCATTGGCAGTTTAACGGCAACTACTGTCAAAACATGAAATAGCTGAATGGGGTTTGGAAATTTTGTATTTATCAAAATTATGGCCAAGAAAAAATAAATGACTAAATAGCATTTTTATACTTTGGGACAAAAATTTTATATGAGTGAACCCCTTCCTACATTAGCTTACCATAAAATTTCTTATTTCAATTGGCTCAGAAAATCATCTCTCCATCAGGTAAAAAAAATCGTCTCACACGCTAATATATTTTCAAGAATCAGAATCAGCTGCTAATGTGTTAATCTGTAATGATGAATCTGCTTATTTATAGAAGACAGTTAAAATAAACCATCCTATCTGTGATGATGATGCCCATTGTACATGCATCCAAAAAAAATAAAAGCATTCAGAAAAACACATTAACCTTCTCTGTTCATTATCGAGTCGTAAATTTAAACACGTCATTCTGTCAACGGATTGCCTAACTCCAGCAGCAAGCAGTCAGCTAGATATCTGGCAAGCTCAGCAGCCGGAGTATGCTGACCAATCCCGATTTTCGTCAGTTTACCTGGACCGAATTCAAATAGACCGGAAAATTGGTACCGCTACTAATTTGGGAGCCGAAAATTGAAACTTGGCAATTTGTGGGGCCCCAAAATCACCAGTTAAATATTTATGTCGATTCGCACTTTAGCACAAATTAATTTTGCTGTGTGGCCTCAGTGGCAGCGTCTAAATCGCCGATTTAATTTAACATTAAAATAGTATTTATAGGTCTATTTTAGTCTATTGGTTTCCTGGTAGATGTGCTTTTAGAAATCTAAAAACTGGGATCCTAGCTAGTAGCAAGGACATCATTACACATTATATTCTATTTTTGCACCAAGGCGAAAAATATATTTTTTGGCGCGCACCCTAGCTGTCAAGTAAAATATTTCATAAAATATATTTTCTTTATATCTAAAATATAGCTGTGACGTAAAGAACGTTGGACAATTTTTGGCTGGGTCATCCAAAATTTGATCAGATATATTTTCTGGACCATACAGGAATAAATTTAAAAAAATATGTAGTGCACTGCATATTATTTCCAACGAATTTATGTACCGTTTCAGAGCCAGCCTGCTCTTATTTATATCGAGGGCACATAGGATTATAATGATTCCTTTGAAGTCGTCGAATTACAGGCGACTTTGAGTGGCAAACTCCGCGCTTTAATGGTGCAACATTTTCACGTGGGGCTATTCTGGTTATCGCAATTAGAACGGCTGCTGCTTTTAAAGCATTAAGGCTGAGTTTCTTTAGTTATCGTCCTATTTTTTTGGAGAGTGATATTGAATGTCCGTTTTTTAAAATTACCAGTTTTAGAACATTTTAATCGAAATTTTAATCTTACCTAGGAATTGAAAAAATGCAGTTTTTTTTAAAAAAAAAACCCTATCAAGATATAAATAAGAAAGTTTTTAGCAAAAATTCAAAAAATTGAGAAAAATATATTTTTTTTTTCTCAATTTCAACGACCCACTTAGATTAGATATTATAACTTTTGCAGTGAGTTTGTTAGAACTACAAGAAATATCATTTAAAGGACTTTCACAATGTACCATGTATCGTGTCACATAATATATCGGAATTTTTGTTTTTGTTTTAGGTATTAGCTTTATTCGAAGAACATGATGGAGCGTTTACCGCTTTTGTAGAACCTTTTGTAATTCTCCTTATCCTTATTGCCAATGCCGTTGTAGGTGTATGGCAGGTAAGACCGTATAGATTTTATTTTAACTCGAATTCTAATATTTAGTTCAAATTCAGGAAAGAAATGCCGAATCTGCCATTGAAGCTCTTAAAGAATATGAACCTGAAATGGGAAAAGTTCTTCGATCAGACAAAAACGGTGTACAAAAAATTAGGGCTCGTGAGATCATCCCTGGAGATATTGTTGAAGTGTCAGTCGGTGACAAGATTCCAGCTGATATCCGTATTATTAAGATTTTTTCTACCACCCTGAGAATTGATCAGTCTATTCTGACTGGCGAATCTGTTTCTGTGATAAAACATACCGACGCTATTCCGGATCCACGTGCAGTAAACCAGGACAAGAAAAACATCCTTTTCTCTGGTACCAACGTTGCTGCTGGTAAAGCTCGCGGTATTGTAATTGGAACTGGTTTGTGTACTGCTATTGGAAAAATCAGAACCGAAATGTCTGAAACTGAAGAAATCAAGACCCCTCTTCAACAAAAACTTGACGAATTTGGCGAGCAATTATCCAAAGTTATCTCTGTTATCTGTGTAGCTGTATGGGCTATCAATATTGGTCACTTCAACGATCCAGCTCATGGTGGCTCTTGGATTAAAGGCGCAGTATACTATTTCAAAATAGCTGTCGCCTTGGCTGTAGCAGCTATTCCAGAAGGTTTGCCCGCCGTAATTACCACTTGTCTTGCTTTGGGTACTCGCCGTATGGCCAAGAAGAATGCTATTGTCAGATCTCTGCCTTCTGTAGAAACCCTCGGTTGTACCTCCGTTATCTGCTCGGATAAAACTGGTACACTTACCACTAACCAAATGTCTGTTTCTCGCATGTTCATCTTTGACAAAGTTGAAGGTAATGATACCAGTGTTCACGAATTCGAAATAACTGGCTCCACCTACGAACCAATTGGAGAGGTATTCCTTAAGGGACAAAAAGTTAAATGTTCAGAATATGATGCCTTACAAGAATTGGGTACTATCTGTATTATGTGCAATGACTCGGCTATTGACTTCAACGAATTCAAGCAATGCTTCGAAAAAGTTGGTGAAGCTACAGAAACTGCTTTGATTGTTTTGTCCGAAAAGATGAATCCTTTCAGCGTTACAAAATCTGGAGATAGACGTCAAACTGCTATTTGCGTCAGGCAAGACATTGAGACCAAATGGAAGAAAGAATTTACTTTGGAATTCTCCCGTGATCGTAAATCTATGTCCTCTTATTGTGTACCTCTGAAACCTTCCCGTCTTGGAAACGGACCTAAATTGTTCGTAAAAGGCGCCCCTGAAGGTGTTTTGGACAGATGTACTCACGTTCGTGTCGGTCAACAGAAAGTACCAATGACAAGCGCCATCAAAAACCGCATTTTGGAAATCACCAGAACCTATGGTACTGGACGTGACACTCTTCGTTGTTTGGCTCTTGCCACCGCTGACAGCCCAATGAAACCCGAAGAAATGGATCTTGGCGATTCCACCAAATTCTTCACCTATGAAGTCAACCTAACTTTCGTTGGTGTCGTTGGCATGTTGGATCCTCCACGTAAAGAAGTTTTCGATTCTATTGTCAGATGTCGCGCTGCTGGTATTCGTGTCATTGTAATTACTGGTGATAACAAAGGTACTGCTGAAGCTATTTGCAGACGTATTGGCGTTTTTACTGAAGATGAAGATACTACAGGCAAATCTTATTCTGGTAGAGAATTTGATGACTTGTCTCCCGCTGAACAAAAAGCCGCTTGTGCACGATCCCGTTTGTTCTCTCGTGTGGAACCTGCTCACAAATCGAAAATTGTTGAGTATTTGCAGAGTATGAATGAAATTTCCGCTATGGTAACTACATTTTTTGGATTTTATTATTGCATTTGATTTTTATTTTGAGGAAAAAGTTCACATTAATTAATTTACTCTATTTTGCGAATCTCTTTGGCGAAATTTGATAAATCATGAACTAAACTTTCAACTATACGTTTTTCTCAAGTGTAAAAATCTGCCAAAACCATGCTACAAGTTAAATTGGCTTGTGTTTTCAATTTTTCTAGAATAATTAGTAGAGATTTCCAATTATTAAATGAAATTACAGAATTGTAAATTTTTCAATTATTATATTTATTCTTTTATCTAGACTGGTGATGGTGTAAACGACGCTCCAGCTTTGAAGAAAGCCGAAATCGGTATCGCCATGGGTTCAGGCACTGCTGTAGCCAAATCGGCTGCTGAAATGGTACTCGCTGATGATAACTTCTCCTCCATCGTAGCTGCTGTCGAGGAAGGTCGTGCTATCTACAACAACATGAAACAGTTTATTCGTTATTTGATTTCCTCCAATATTGGAGAGGTGAGTAGACACGGAATTGATAAGCATGGTCATCAATGCCATAAAAAAATCCCTGCAAGTCTCAAAAAAATGAGTGACTACGCCAGTAGAAACATCTATCCACGTAAAAAGATCAACATTTGTATCAGAAGTTTGTATCAGCCTTCAGTTGAATCCCAGGTACTTCCACATACACAAAATGTGCAGAATGGCAAAGAAAAAATTGAATATACATATGTGTACATATAGTGGTATGTGGAGTATTGGTTCAACTTGCAGCATATGACACAAGTTTTGTTGGTATATTGTTCTGTTAGGTTTAAGAGTAAAAAAAAATATAGGAGCTTTCATCTAGAACGGCTAAAAAAACAATGTTGAATAGGTATATTCTTATTCCATGTGTTTGGCATGGGCACATAAGTTTTTTTGAAATAAAAAATATACCTACATTTTTTTGAAGCTTTTTAAATTTACGAGTTCATACTCAAGTTATTGTTCAAAGTTATTTGGCACAGGCACAAGATAAGAAAAGTTATGAAACATCAAAAAAGGCTGTTTGGTTAATTGATGAGCAGCAGCTGCCTATGAGAACATTATGAAAATAACTAAATGGGTTTTTAAAGCAACTAAAAATATCTGCATCATACTAACTTCCAAATTTTGAAAAAGTAAAACCATAAGTAAAATTATTTATTTGAGTACTTAAGGCAATTTAAAGTTATGAATATACACATTACAAATTGCACTTTTAAACAAGATTTTGAGTAAAACCATTTACATAATTTTTATAAATATGTAAGAACTTTATTTCTGGTTTAAAAATTAATCGTTTAATAGGTCGTATCCATCTTCTTGACTGCCGCCCTTGGTCTTCCAGAAGCCCTTATTCCTGTTCAACTTTTGTGGGTCAACTTGGTCACTGATGGTTTGCCAGCCACTGCTCTTGGTTTCAATCCACCCGATTTGGACATCATGGACAAACCGCCCCGTAAAGCAGATGAATCCCTTATTTCTGGCTGGTTGTTCTTTAGGTGGGAATAATTTTTATTATTATCAGTGATCGATTATTGTGACATTTTCAATTTGAAAAGAAAATAAAAACCAAATACTTTTTTCCAGATACTTGGCTATTGGTGGGTATGTAGGAGCTGCCACTGTAGGTGCTGCTGCATGGTGGTTCATGAGCTCGCCCGAAGGACCACAAATGAGCTACTACCAATTGGTAAGGAATTTGTTGTATTGCAAGATATAAATGTTTACTTGATGGTTGGTTGTTTTCCAAAGACTCATCATTTGCAATGCATTGGAGGTGGCCCCGAATTTAAAGGAATTGACTGTAAGGTATTCAACGATCCCCATCCAATGACCATGGCCTTATCTGTGTTGGTAACCATTGAAATGCTGAACGCCATGAACAGGTACGGAATTTTAATTTCATTGAAAAAAATTGGAATTTTTTATATCTAATCATTTTTCCTTAGTTTATCAGAAAATCAATCCTTGATCGCTATGCCTCCATGGTGCAACATGTGGTTGATTGGCTCAATGGCACTTTCTTTCACCCTTCACTTTGTTATTCTCTACGTTGATGTACTTTCTGTAAGTGGCTTATTTTGTTTTAATGAATATTCAAGAATGGTTTGATGATTTAACGTTTTGGTACCAATTTTATGTAATAGGAATAAAGCTTGTTACAAACTGGGAATAAGAATTCTAGTTGAGACTGATTTCTATTTGTCATCTTAGTGCTTATACTTTATTGAGTTATTTCCAATGTAAAATACTGCACAAACAAACAATCAAAACATATTTTGATGCAAAAATAGTTGTGGCCTATAAAGTTGTTTTCAATTTTTGTTTTCAACGATAAGTCATTAGCTATTATTGTATCGTAAAAACTAACGTTTTTTTTTGTTAATTTGGTCACTTGACTAAAATTAATTTCGATTTGATGCACTGAGTTTATATTCCATTTGATTGCATCTTCGTATTTTTCATATCCCAACTCTTTGCCCACCTAGTGCCATGACACATCATTGGCGAGTTAAGGGCCACTTATGATTAAACAAAAAATCTCACAAATGAAAAACACTTAACTTAGTGTAAAAGCTGTAGAAACGATTTAAAAATAAATTATCATTTTAAAATCATCCAATAGATAAAATAAAGTGGCTCCTCACCAATGAAATGTCTGTAGATGGGAGACAGATTACACAATGCTGCATGTTGGAAATAATTTAAATAATTAAGTACATATTATATTGATTTTATTAACTTCCTTCTAGGCTGTATTTCAAGTGTGTCCGTTGACAACCGAAGAATGGATGACGGTAATGAAATTCTCGATTCCAGTAGTATTGCTTGACGAAAGTTTGAAGTTCGTCGCGAGGAAGATCACAGATGGTGAGAATCCGATTTATACTGTGCACTGGATGGTACTAATGTGGGCTGTGTTCTTTGGCTTAATATTGTGGGGGCCCTTATAAGCGAATAAACTTGCGCCCCTACATTTACCCCATTACCTAACTCCCTCCTTTCCTTCCCCATAATCCAAACTTTACTGCCTCTATCAGACGAGGGCAGCCGGCTAGTGTGTAAACGGGTGTGTTAAAAAACAAAAATGTACCAAGATGACTATTTTAGTGCCTTTTTTTACTGATTCTTTATTATTTCTCAAAGATATAATTGGATTTTGTTTAAGTTGTTCAATAAGGTTATTGTTTTTTTTATTTTTGGGGAATTAAATTTAATCAAAGAAAATCATCTCAATAGGATATTTAATGGGATATGATTTAGTTACAAAATTGGAGAAATTAACCAAAGGGGATCCTGAATAGAGGGCTTTTATGAGAATATAATTTTTGCTGCCCCATTGACAAATTCAATTAAAAAATACATCAAAAATTTAATAAAAAATAATTCGTCTCTGAACATAGGCGTTTTCTTTAGCTACATGTTAATTTCAAACGAATCTCATAATTTTGATGATTTTCGATGATTTTTTTAATCACATAGTTGTATGTATCGTTTATCAAAATAAAAGATTTGAGAAAATACAACAAAGCTGCGAAGCAAATTTTACTTAAATTTCAGGTAATAATTTTTCAAGGGTGTATTTTACTTACAGTGAATTTTTGAAGGTACAGAGAACATCTTGATGATAATTCGTTTTTGATCTTTAATATGGGTTTTTTCTTTTTCCTTTAAAATGTGAAAGTAGCTAATAGGTTTTCTGCTTTTGGCACAAACACAAGAAATATTATGTAAGACTACACAGCATTTTAACTTTTTTTAAAATGCTGTGTAGCCTTACATAATACTACTTCAGATACTGTCTGTACTTTGCCTTTATCTGGTAGCCTTTCCTTCAAATGGGATGTAAATTTCCCTGAAATAGAAAATGTATTCATAGAGTTCACCTTCGATAGTTATTTACCAATTCAATTTAAGGCCTAACATAATTTTCTATTTTTTAATAAAACGAAAATGATTAACTTTTTAAACTGCTCTGGTTTTTGTTGTGGATCCAACAGGTGGAAAAACACTGAAACGCATATGTAGTTGGATCAGGATCGAAGATCGTGTATCGGTTTTCCTTGATTTGACTCATTCAAATGTCTAATTTTTATTATAAAAACTTGAAAAAGCAGAAAGTGTCACCATCAAGATGTCTCCCACGTAGCTGTAGCCACAAGTAATTGCCCCATTACAAATTAAAAACAAAATCATGAAAAAATCAATAAAGAAGATTTTAAGGCAAAGCACACATTACCGCTGTTTAATATCAAGTTTCTTTTAAAGAAAACCAAGCAGCCTCTTTTATTATCCATATTTTTGAATATAATTTATACAAATTCTATAATTTCATTAATTTATCTAGATAGGATAGTGTTTATAATAAATAAATAATTGTATTGGGTAAGGCAGCCAGAGAAAAATACTTCTTTGAGAGTTGATCGATACCCGTATTACACTCTACAGCTAATGGATTTTCCAATAGGAATTAACCAATTTTGTAATATTATATTGAATGTTTTGCAACACCCGTCTAGTGCCAAATTTGCACAGTTTTTTTCGTCACCAACAATTTTTCTGGAGTAAAGTCCTAATTTATACTTTGGAATAAATACTCCCATTTTCATGCACACATGTCTGTATATTTATTGTACTGTATAACTTTTTTAACTACAGAACATTGGTTGTTATTGTTAAATGATAAAAATTATTGTAATAATTGTTGCCAGACATTCAATAATGTTCAAAACAGGAATACTCCTAATGGAAAACCCGTTGCAATTAGAATCCTACCTAAAACTAAGCGTTTTGTTTTTTTTTTTAACTAATTCTAGTAAAATATTGTTTAGATTATTTAGAGCATTATGCTCATGAAAAATTATTCACTTAATTTCGTTGCGCGTGTACTAAATAAAACTTTTAGATGAAATTTACATTTTTTAATAGTACTTTTAGATGAAAATTGAATAATTTTTTATGGCAAAGTAATTTAAAAACAAAATAAAGTGATTCAGACCGAGTACCAGTCAGCAGTTAAGTAGGCAAGTCAAGTGTGAGTGTTTTTTTTTTAATGTTTTTCTCAGGTGTTGTGATAATTTTAGTAAGAAAATTTTTACTAAGAAGAGTGATTGTGCATGTTTGAACATTTTTTGAACAAAAAAATAAATGGAAACAAAACAAGACTGAGTTTGTTTTTTTGCGCTACAATGTAATCGATTAACAAACAAAAAAACAATTATATCCACCCTTAATAAACCTGCCCAACCCTACACGGCTCATGCTTGTATTGAAATATGTACGATAGTAACTAAAATATCTAAAATTGTGTGTATTTATTAAGTACAGTAGTCTCTAACTTAAATTAACACAAAAAACTGCTGAGATTGAACCACTTTTTTTGTGAATCTTTCTGTGAGGCCGTCTACAATCAAAGATTTAATTGTTGACTTAGCACAGCAATTGGGTACATTTACCAGGCGGCAACAGTTTAAGGTTTGAGGAAGTGGTCGCGGCAAATCGGTTTTTATCAGATACCGCCAATTTTTTAAAATTGTACTCTTTGTGTGTCAAAAGTGGATGAATTTTGATACTCAACTGTGCTCAATTGTTATTTAGCTGCCTGATGGAGGTACCCATTGACTGGTTGATGTTAGCCTATGATTTTATGAAAGGAAATATTGCAGACTGTAACATATAAAATATTAAGCCACATACCAAATGAGAGAATAAGAAACGGCAAATTGAGGCCGCCCTGCTTGACCGGAGTTTGGAAAAAAAATTCACTTGAGAACATATGGATTGATGAATCCAATGCATTGGAATTGCCCTAAAAACGCGTCAACACTGATCGCCTTGGCTTTTCTCGCAAAAAACCTAACAAATTCATGTTGATATACTTTCTGTAAGTTCTTTATTTCGTTTTAGTTAAATTGAATAAAGATTTGGTTTTTTGGTGAAGTACCGTTTTGGCACCAATTTTATATATCTAGTATTCAGAACAAAGATCGGATCTGTGAAGAATTCTAGTTGAATTTGCAAATTGTCAAGAGATATTTAAGTTGAAGGAAACGAGCGCATTCATTATTACTTTTGCAGTGTTGGTTCTCATGTTTGGATTGTTGACTTAAAACCTGAAGGAATAAGGCAAGTGTCTGAAATTCTTCATCCTACATAAACAAACGCTTAGACAATAGTTGCTCACGAAAAAGCACTTTTCGTACCTAAGTGAATGCTTTCTTAGCTGAGCTAAAATGTCAAATTTGCCACAACAGCAACAGTTGAAAATATAGGGATGTGAGATTCCAACTTAGTTTTGTCAAATCCTACAAGCAACTCAGTTCCTTGAAGTAAGGTCAGGAAATGGTTAGTTCGTAAGCAGCTAATGTCTCAGGCTTCCCTCTCTTATTCTTTTAAAGAATCAAACCTTGCTTGTTATTGGAGCCTGTGTTGTTGTTTTGGTGCTGACAGATAATTGGTCTGACCAATGGGAACACGTTCACAGACATCTTTTGCTTTAAAATCGCTTTCTGTTTTCTACTGTCAATTCCCCAAAGACTTTGGTGATAAACTTCAAGTAAATATGTCAGCAATGTTTCTTTCCATCACCTTGATATTGTACTTATATTATGGATCAATTTTTGGTGCAACACAAATAAGTCCCTCGTTTTGTCTTTTTAGGATCAATGTTTTGCTCAAGGTTTTACTGTATGTATTTTTATTTTGTGGTTTAGTTTTTGTGACATTTATCTTTACTTCGTACACATTGTAAAATTGTTTCTCAGTAGAAATCAAACTCTAGATGGTTATAACTTCCTAGAAGGCAGCAGATGGCGTGCTTTAGTAAACCAAGCCTCTGAAAACTGAGTTTCGAACCTAAAAGTATTCATTCATTAAGGAATGCTATATTATGCCATTGTGAAAAATATTTTTCAAAAATAAAATTGAAAAGGCAAGTTCTCAACTGGGAAGTTTTTGAGCTAGGTCACCCTTTATTTAAACACCTTGGAAATGCTACACTTATCCAACAAAACACAAATATAACCCGGAAAATTATTGACATTTGATTAGGGTTTTTTTTATAGACTATACTGATTCGATACTAATTAGTTCCTAATTAATTCAAAAGGCATTTTTTAGCGAGCTCCCGTAAGTTCCCGTGTTACAAGCGGTTACAGGAAATCAATAACCGATCCGTTTTTGCGAGAAAACGGTAATAGGGGAAGGTGTTTTGCTGTCATAAAGTGACGTCATAATTCTATAACACGGTTATTGTTTTTGATACCCAAGTCGAGTTGAGTAACTGAAAAATTCTAACCTTAGATTCATTTATGATCGTTTTGATGTGTAAAAGTGAGTTTTTTTCTGAGGTTTTTTTGTTATTGAAGGATATCAAAAAATGGCAGATCTCGCCAGAGTCGCCGGTAGTAGTTAGTCATCAAGTGTAAGGAGACAATAATCCACATATTATAGTCTATAAGCTGTCTCTCATAATTTTCTCGCAATATACATTTCAAGGGACTACTATACTTGCCTCGATAAAACTTAGAAATTAGAATATACAGGGTGTTTTCAAACATAATATCGTCAATTCGTAATAAGGACTTAATTATTGACTTCATTTCTTTTATGTTTACCACAAAATATAAACTAACCTCACTTTACTGTAAAATTTTGATAACCTTTCCGTTTTAGCGAGAAGCGGTTTAATCCTAGAAATCTGCCAATGGTAGGGATATATTTTTGAAGTGGGCGTGTAACCGTGTATAACCGCACGGGTTATAAACGGTTATTACTGGGATCTCGCTAAAAAATGCTTAAAGAAACGTTTATGCAAAAATTTTCAAACAATCAAGTAACAAAATAATATATTTTAATCTCTTTTCCGGGAT